CGATTACAACCTTTTACTCGGGGCACCATTTAATGGTTGATTCTTGCTCGTGTACATCCATGCCTTGAAGGATCATTTCGCGAACCACCAATAATCATCTCCACGTTGGATTAAATGCCGAGAAGCTATTTGAAGGCGCAAAAAATTGCAGCTACTAATGCTCAGCAATTCCAAATGGATCATAGCTCATTCTTCTTCTTGTCTTTTGACAATATCGCTTGGATAGTCCGCATCCATATATGTGGACCCGTCAAAGAGCTTCCCATGAGTTATAGATGTCACTAACCCAGGAAGTAGCCTTGGTGCCGAGGAATCTTTGCACATTTCTTTCTTTTGAGAAGGTTGTCAAATTGATGTGAGATTCTCCAAGATGAGAAATTTCTGTGGACTCTGCTCTGAGAACAATAGGGATTACTTGAAGCACAAATTTTAAGAGCATTTCTTCATCCACGTTGACGATTGAAGAAAGAAGTGGATTCACAAATGTGACCCTAAGGTCAAATTTCAAATTTAGGAATGTTCAAATGTCATCCCTCCTTGGTCTCATTTCCCGAAAATGGTGAAGCGTAAAGGTTAGTGGATTCTTGAAATGGAGCTCTTTATGAACACTAGGGTATCATTGTCTATGCCAAGAGCCGCAAGTCCTTTCATCCTTCATCAGTGGGAGACTAGCCTTTTCCATATTGCTTCAAGGCAAGCATGAGAGATCGTGATGATCTCCTACCCTCGAATTCTGGAAATATAATCAAGTAAAGCTGGTCTTCACATGTGTCAGGGATCCCTATCAGGCACAATGTCGTGGTGCGTATCAGACCTTCATGCCTGAGAAGCCTTCTTCTAATGTCCACGATTGCTAGTAGCGGAAAGTTTCCCCGGTTTACAATATCCAGAGAGACCTCAACAATGAAAATTGTTCCTCCAATCTTGTGGTTCTTTGCAACAAAATGAGAAACTTTCTAATGAAACCATCGTGGAATCTCACTCCTAGCGATATTCAAGCAAGCAAGCTCGCGAGACGTGGAGGCAGATACAATGAGATAAATTGAGTTTTTTTTTTTAGAAGTACAAGGCTCCCTCAGACTGGATGGAAAGCTGGAAAAATCATTACAACCCAAATCCAAATCCTGCAAGGAGGCAGTCCTTTCAAAATTATCGGGGATTCTTCCCAAAAATCCCCAAGCATGAGCACCCATTTCCTAAAGCCTTAGTTGCTTTGAATCCAGAAGCTGCCTCTATTCCAGTTTAAAATCTCAAGGATGCGAGCAGACTTCATCATGCAAATGTATGCATGAATCAAACGCCAACCCAATGCCCATTCTATTCCAAAAGTTTCGTAGTAAGAGGAGACATCATTAAAAGATCAAATCGTGGCTATCAATCGAATGCCCATTCTATTCCAAAAGTTTAATGTGCAAGATGTGTCATCAATTGTGAAAAACTGATTTGTGATTTCGGATTTTTGGAAAGACGGGACAATTCTTGTTTTAAGAAAAATACATAAAATGTGATTTGAATTCCAATTCCGGAATGTGAACAAGAAATAATTTTGTTGAAAATGTGATTTCAATTTCATGCCCCAAAATACAATCTTGACTTGGAAGAATTTCTATACAAACTGTGATTTTAAACCCATCATTGAAAATTTAGACAAGATCATCTGTTTTGTAAGGCCAAATCAGAGATGTTTGAGTTTCATGCTCCAGGCTCACTGTCAAGAGTGATTGCACGAAATTTTCAATTATGAGCTTAGATCACCTAGGGCATTCGCTTGATTTCCACGAATTTCAAAAATGAAAGTTTCAATCAAAAGTAGACAAGTAAAGAGAGAAATCATACTTACAGTGGATGGCAAACTTTTAATCACATAAACATGCGAATGTAACGTGTGGCTCAACTTCTACTATAGATGGCTTAACAAATTGGAGTTATGAGAGTGGGATGACTAGTCGCGGCCTCGCGTACTAAGCCAAGTCCTCGTGACTCCGGCTCGGTCAAGAATGATACCCCGATGCGACGCGGCCTCATGGGCAAAGGTAAGCATTCTTGACACCAAGAAAGAAGCTTTCGGGATTGAGTTGGGCAACCTCTACTACGCGGCCTCGCGGTTGAAGTCGTATCCAACTCAATACCATCCTAAACATTCCTAGTGCAGCCCAGGTCCGGCAGCATGGTTGTGTGTGCAACAGTGTAGTGCTAAAACATCTAAAGCATGCACAACAGTTTATAAGCAAAGAATACTTGAAGCATCCGAAAAAATAAACATTCATTCCCCAAATCCCAAACCTGCAAAATAAGGGGTCAATGGCAAAAACATTCACGTTAGGGATGTATTTGAACAAGATAAACGGCCTAAGTCCTCTAAAAAGTCCCCAGCGGAGTCGCCAAGCTGTCACGACCTCCCCGAACCGGCCCCGGCCGCCTAAGGGATTTGGCTAATGGATTACTAAGTTAAACCTAGCTCGAGCTCTCCCAAGCCCATACCAATTCGCAACTTAAGTTTAAGTTGTTAACATGCAAATCAATTTCATCTAGAAGTCGCCACTAATCGATTTTTGGTGGGTCGATTATACACCCAAGTAAAGCACGGGAGAAATGCTTTACTTCTACGAACCAGAGATTCAATGGGTACGGGGACTTGATTACACTAATTGACTAATTAGTGCCCTTTCGGTACCTAATCTTGCTCAATTCACCACCTAACGTGCCCACACTAATTGGGAGTTTCAAAAATTCATTCCTAACCAAGCTAGGGGAAACAACAATCACTACATGAACCTAACATGCATAATCAACCACATGCGAGGTTAAATTAAACGCACCGTTCAAAGGGTGTGAACCAAGCAACGTGCGATCGAATATGACACTAATCACACAATAGGGCCAGAAATACCAATTCCAAAGTTGAAATAAATTTTCTGATTTTTCGAATTTTTTTTATTTTTTTTAAATTTTTATTAAAAAAAATTTTAAAATGTTTTTAAAAAAATATATATTTTTTAATATTAAAATAATATAAAACAGACCGGGTCGGACCTTTACATCCGACCCAGATAAAATGTTTTTTTTTTTTCAAATGATAATTTTTTTAATTTTTTAATAATAAAATAATATAAAATCGGGTCCGAGTCGGATCTCCACATCCGACCCAGATCGAGACTAACCTGGATGCGCCGGCTCGGGTCCACGATTGAACCGGGCTCATATATTGAGCCCGGTCTGAATTTTTTTTTAAAAGGAAAGGGCCCAGCCCGAAATTTTTTATTTTTTTAACAAAACAAATAAAGGCCCAAAGCCCACTAGACATAAAAAGACCAAAAGAACAATTTAGCCCATTTCCCGAACTCGGCCCATGCGCAAAAGGCCCAAAACCTAATAAAACCCACTCTAATAACTAAAAGGCCCAAAATATTAAAACACCAAATAAGCATAAAATCGGCCCAAATATTAACAAAAACCCTACCCGAATGCGACCCGTTCACCCGACCCGGTCACCGGCCGCCGACCCGACTCGACGAAACCCTACCCGGTTCTGACCCGCGATCCGACCCGAACGCGCGTCGCCCTACCCGGTTCGCGGCCACCCCACCGCGCCCCGGGACTCGCCTGCACACCGGCCACTGCTCCAACGTGGAGCGCACGTCCGGCCACCGCCACACGCCGGCCGGCGTGGACACCGGCTTCCCCGAGCCCTGACCTCCGCGGCCGGGGTCACTAGTCCGGCAGCCGAGCCGACCAGCCGCGTCACCGCCATGGCAACCGGCGACCGTCCGGGACTGTCCAAGCCTCGGCGAGAGGCTGATCAGTCACGGACTAGCCAGATCCCGGCAAGGGACTGGGTCTGCACGTCTTCCCGCGGTCACGCTCGGACCGCCACGGCCACCGGCGGTACGCCGAGACCGTCTGACATTCCCAACAAAGCAGCAGAACAGAGAAAAACCCAAGAAGTTTGGTTCGGGCAAAACGTCGAACAGTCGGTGTGCGCGACGAAAACGAGGGATTTTAGACCTGATCGAGGCTCAAACGCAACCAAAATTCACACAAAACAATACACAGACAAGCAGGCCCGAGGTGTCACTGGCCGGAACTCGCGCGAGCCGGACGGCCGCGAGCTCCGGCCAGTGGACCCGAGAACAGAAGCAAAAACAGGGGAGGGGGTGCCGTTGCGGCGCTCCCTATCCGGCTTGGGGGGCGGCGAACGACGGCGAACTTGATGGATCGGACTACGTCCGGTCGCCTTGCACGCCCCCAAGCCGGAATCCTCGGGAAATTACCCCGAATCAAACCGAACAAGAAAACCCGACGGAGCTCGGAGCCGGGACCTACCGCGAGAATCGTCGGAGCTTCGCCGGCCGCGGTTGAGTCGCGACGGTCGTCGACGGGAGCCCGTTCGGCCTCGAATTTCTCTCGCCAACGCTCTCGGCCTCAACCTCTCCCTCGGATCTCTCCCGATTTCTGTTCACTCCGGGCCCCCCTTCTTTGTTCTGTGCCCCCCTGGCTTTAAGGACAGCCAGGGGCGCGAAGCCGGCCAGCAGGCGCGCATGGCCCTGCCACCGCCAGCCTGCCGCGGCCGGCCTGCTCCCGACCCGAAGATCGTGCCGGCGTCCCCCGTGCCCCTCTGGCCTCTGTGCTCTGTGGCTGTGGCGTTCTGCCACTGCTCCCGTCTTCTCCCCCCGTACGCTCAGAAATGTTGACTGGGGGGAGGTTTGAACAGTGCGCGGGCCGGGCCGTGGGAAATGGGCCGGCCCGCACGAAAATAGAAAAGGGAGCATGGGCCGCGCGCAATAAAAGAAAAACAGGGGGAAAAAGAATGGGCCGACGAACCCGGCCCCGAAATCTTTTTTTTTTTTTAATATATGAATATGCCATATTAATGCAAATGCGCCTAATGTCTATATGCCATGGAATTTAATGAAAATGTTTTCGGCTTAGGGGTTAAAAATTAGACCCTAATTTTTATGCGATAAAACACTAAATGATTTGGGCAAAATTTAGGTGTCAACATCCACTCAAACCAGCCTCCATGCTCTGTACCATTTTCCTGAACGATGGTTATTGGTGGAATTTCTCGTGAACCATCTGTGCATGTCTCTGGCAATGGAAATCCGCATAGTCCGGGATTCCCGACAAACGAGTCGCTCTTGAATGTGTTGAATTGCCGTCCCTGAGGAATAGGTCCGATGAGCTGATTCTATGAGAGGTTCAAGAATTCAAGAGATGTCAAATCCGCTAGTTCTCGAGGAATCCTTCCAACGAACTTATTTGAAGAGAGGTCTAGCCATTCAAGTTCAGTCAAGTTCCTGGTAGACGGAGGGATATAGCCTACAAGATTGTTGCGGGAAAAGTTGAGCCCTTTGAGTGACTTCAGGTTTCCTATACCCACGGGAAGCTCCCCACCAAAATGGTTGCTCGATAAGTCGATACTCATGAAAACAGTTAGAATTGTCACCGACTGTATCTCTAGTCCTTTTATGGTCAATGTGACTGAATCTTGATAATTATCATCTCCCATATATTGCGGCTTGCCCCGTATTTTATCTTGATTCATCATGGCAGTAAACTTCATAATATATCTAATAGGTAAAGGACCGCTCCGATTGTTGTTGGCCAGGTCGAAAATGCGCAATTCAGAAAATGGGCGAGCTGCTCTAGGACTACTTACGAAGCCATGGAACATGTTGGACCTCAAAACAAGAACTTGTAGCTTGGGAAGGGAATCAGGGAACGTATCCTCCATTCTATTGTTGCCGAGATCCAAAACTTCCAAATTTTCACAATGTAGTAAGGACCGTGGCAATGTCCCTTCAAATCGATTTCAACTAAAGTCAATAGTCCTTAAATTGCTGCCCTCAGCAAATTTTCTAGGGATCACACCCTGAATCCTGTTCATTCGGAGGCTGAGCACCGAGAGATTTTTGCTAAAGCTCATCAAGCACTCGGGCAAGGTGCCCATCAAACTATTATTGGACAAGTCAAGGACTACGAGCTCAGTGGCACCATCTATCAAAGGTGAAACCTTTCCACCAATCTTGTTGTTTGCCATGAAATAGAATTGAGTGGTGGGTGGTGGAATTGGAAGAGGACCTTCAAATCTGTTGTTGGATAGATCAACCGTCCACAGATTCAACTGATGGAGAAAATATTCCTCGGGCCATTGACCCCCCAAATTATTGTTAGATATGGAAAAGCTATAAAGCGTGGAGGGAAGAAATGGAGCAGTTGGAGGATCGATTTGGCCATGGAATTCATTGAACTGCAGATCGATCCACCTCAATGAGCGGGATTCTAGCAACCACTTGGGAAAAGTATCGTTCATTTTGTTGTAACTGACTTTTAGAAAGAACAATGATGCACAATTGTCTAAAGACCGCAGTAATGTCCCTTCAAACTAATTGGCGCTCAAGTCTAATTCAACGAGGTTGGTTAAATTTCCCAAACATTGTGGAACAGAGCCAGAGAGATTGTTACTATCCAAGTATAGAGTTTCAAGGGAGCATAATTCGCAAATGGAAGATGGAATCTCTCCGCTGAAGCCGTTGTCGGTGGCCTGAAAGCTGACTATACGGAGTGGTGGAATTGGAAGCAGGCCCCGGAATAAGTTGTCACTAAGGTAAACAAAAGTCAACTCTGTCCATGGAAATTGTTGTATGCCTCCCTCAATACGGTTACTAGAAATATCAAGAACCTGTGGTCTACCTTCCCCTACATCCCAAAACCATCTCGGGATCTCACCGCCAATCTTGTTTTTGGAGAGATCTAATTTTCTTAACTTTTTTAAAGAGGTCAGAAAAAGAGGAAACTTGGTCAAGTTGCAGGAATGCAAGACCAAAGTCTCAGGATTCGGAAATGAGTAATTTATACTGTTGTGAGCTAGATTTAACCCTACTGAAAGATCAAGGAATTGCAGATTTTTCAGTGTCGAAAAGACTCCCAAGTCTAAAACACCAGTAAAGTGGTTAGAAGAAAAGTCTAAATATATGAGTCGTTCAAGCTTTAGCTTTACAACAAATGACGAGATATGATCAATTAATTCATTCTGTGAAAGGTCCAACGTGGTTAATTTTGTTAAGTTCAAAAGCCATGAGGGAATCGATCCTGTTAATTCGCAGAAACTGAGATGTAGAGTTTTTAAATTCTTCAATTCACCAATTGAATCGAGTATTTTGCCTAAGATGTTTGCAAGTGAGAGGGTTAAGGATTCAAGAGACTTGCTCCAATTAGACTTCAAAAAAGATACCATGATATCATTGAAACCCAAACTGAGATCAAGGAGGTTTGGCAAGCTAAAAATGTTGGGCAGAAGTTCCCCTTGTAAATCGCACATAAACGCACTGAAAAACGTCAAGGAGGATGATAAATTCATGAAGGAACTAGGCGAAACAGCAGACATGTCTATGTAATCAAGGTTGAGTTCGCTCAACTCTGTCAAATTCTGAACAAGCATTTTGAAACCGGTATTTTCTATCTTAAGATTGGGTGCCACATACGGTTTTTTATAGTTTAAAGAGAGATCAAGTAAAACAAGTTTAGAAAGGTAAGAAATTTCGATGGGAACTAGACATGAAAAATTGGAAGGAGAGAGATTGAGGTGCCTCAGTTCAGTAAACACACTTAGTTCAGGCAAAATGGGTGAGGCACGGAAATCGTTAATAGCAAGGTTGAGGCTCTGAAGATGCCAAAGTGCAAAGAGTAAACTGTTAGAACGAAGGGTCCCTTGAAGATAGCTGAATGAAAAATTGAGGCCGATAATGTTACCCGTTACATTGTCACAGGCGACACCGTCCCACGAGCAGCAATCCAAGCCGTTCTTCCATGTAGTCGTCTTCGGATCACAGTGTGGGTCCGTATCAGTTTCAACTGTGAGAGAATTGCTAAACTGAAGTAAGGCATCACTTTGGACTGGACGACAAAATTGTGCTGTTGTGCAATGAAGGTTTAATAACAATTGCCCAAAAAGACAAAGACAAAAGAGAAAACAGAGGGACTGGTAGAATTCCATGCTTTTTGGTCGAGCACAATGCCTCTAGGACAGTGGTGCACTTAATTATAAACGCTAAGATGCCAAAGTCTTCTTGAAACGACATTACTGGGGTCAAAGTCTTTGGTGGGGTTACTTGGGCGTGGAAAATTCTTAGCGCAATGAAGGACAGTGGGGGAATTTTCAGGCCATCCATTCTAGCTGGGCATTGACAAATTGGTGCTAATAAGTTGGACTTCATTAATTGTTTTTACATGCAATATCACATCAAGCACGGAATAGGATCTTTCTACATGTACACAATGCGAAGCCTCCTCCGCTTTTCTTGGAAGGCATATTAGTCAAGTCTAGGGTAGCAATTTTCATATCATACATATGTATGGCTCTGGTCATTACTGTCTAGTAGACAAAATTGAATAATTAGCGAAGAAAATAATCTTTTATGAATGTTTTTCCGAGAAGATAACTTTGAATTCCTAATACCCCTGTTTACCATTGCAGATAAGTATGATGATAGGTACAATCACAAGATCTATTATTCACCTGCAAGTAAAAGATGCATTCTCTGAATGGCAGCATTTCAAGCCGATGACTTTTCTATTCCTTGATCTACATGGCGAACAGTTTCAATTGAAATCTTTTCAACAAGTTCGTGGTACGTGCAATCTGATGCCTTCTGCTTTGGCTTCTTCGTTCGTTTGGCTTCCCTTTTCTCCATTCTTTGCACAATTCTTGCGAGCTATTTAGGTCTTCCAGTTTCATATGCAATGTATGCTACTGAGTCCCAAGATGATTCCCAATTAAGATAAAGTGACAAAATCTCTAAAATCAATGAAGTGCTTGTCAAATGTTTTACGGTTACATTAGCTTACAACATCAGTGATGATATTGAGCTTCCACACAAGGATGTCCTCGACTACTCCCAATTATGCATCTTCGTTCGTACTTCAGATGCTCTAAAAGAAAAATTCCTCACAAATATCATTCGGAGTATCGGAAGGGATGAGTGGACCCGAGTGTCGTAGAGGTCGAAAGAGATCGAGAATCTCTATCACCTTCAGGACCCATCGAAGGATGGAGTTGCACATAAGTTTCCGTCCACTAGAATGATGTTGCACAAGACTAGGCGCTTTGCTCATCCTGCGGGCCACAGAGAAAAGGGGGTCAATATCATTCCAAATTCCAATCACCGAAATTTTTTTGGCGAAAACATACACATTTCTTTCTTTGTGGCTCCTGTTTTTCAGAGCCTTGGACATGGAACCCCACATCGTGCTGCTTGAGAAAGACGCAAACCGCACGTCTTCTCACTGCACATTTTGAGACTGAAACTGTATTCTTGTAGAGAAATCGAAAGGATTGAAGTAATTGTCGGGGCAATTCTTCCGGGATGAATAGCCAGCTTCTTTGGAGCTTTTCAGCTGCTTACGTAGGAGTTCAGTTTTATTGCCTCATCCTCTGGAATTTTACCATGTACCACCACGTTATGTGGTAAATCTCTTGGGAAGCACGGAAGTTCATGAACGTCGAATGCAAGGCAAGTCAATTTGTCTTAAACTTTGTCTCTTTGGCTGAAATTACAGCTCGCATATGATTTTCATATATGCCTGAGTGACAAAGCTTCAACCCCGAGTCCTTCTGGCTTCATAGGCAAGTGTCAAGTCACCAATCACCATCTCTATTTGACGGACAGATAGCGCTACTTCATGATTAGGCCACAGTTCATCAACCTGATCATCCGTTAAACTAATGCATATAGCTTCCTGTGCCTTCTCCCCCATAGCCTTATCCTGTTAATATGGTAAAGAGTAGAAATTGAACATTTATTGGAGCTACAAAGATTGCCAGATCTTTGCAGGTCGGAAAGCCCAAGCAGCTGTTTTCTTTCAATATCAGAAGGCTCAAGCAGAGAGCAAAAGCACCCAATGTGAGTCATCAATGGTCTAAATGTCGACCACCTGTGGCCGCGACCTCCGCCGGCCATCGACGAGGCCCAGCGGAGGGAAAAAAGGAAAAAGAAAAGAGAAAAAATAAAAGAAGAGAAAAGGAAAAGAAAAAAAGAAAAAAAAAGTAAACAAGGAAGGAATAGAGAATAAAAAGAATAAATAAATAAATAAAAATTCAAAAATATTAAAATATTATTAAAATTCGTCCACGTCAATGCCGATTGTGCCATGTAGGATGGCTGACATCCATGTCATCAATTTCTAGTCAAAATAGCTAGATAAACTCAATTGGCAAAATATGAAAAGGTTTAAGACTTAATTGTTACAATTAAAATATTTAAAACTGAATTGAAAAAAGTGCAATACATTTAGAATTTTTTAAATAGTTTTCCTATTTTTAGGCTCTGTCACTCTATATACAAAGCATGAACTGCTTTTTGGCTTAGTATACATAATCGGGAAAATTGTTCAAAAGGTCCTAAACCTGTTGTTGCTAATTCAGTCATAAACCATTCAATTTTGTTAATTCAGTCATAAACCTTCCAATTTTGCTAATTCAGTCAATCTGGTCAATTTTGGCCCGCCAGTGCTAACGTGGACGATGGCCGATTCCGTCCGTCCGACGAATGCTGACCTGGTAATTTTTTAATATTCAGTCGATGTAAATGCTGTTCTCAGAGTTTTTGTTTTGTTTTGTCGAGACTATTCTAAGAGTTTGATGATTCAGATTGTTTGTAACTTGCATACCGGATTTAGATGCAAGCAGTGAAGATAAGAAGTTTTCAATGATCACAGTCTCGAAATTCTATGTTCATTTCACAATCTTTGTCGATCAACTTATTCTCGGACGAATCGCAGTCAACTGAAGTTCAATCAAGTCTCCTGCTGATGTTAACAAAAGTATTTTTTAACGTGTGTAAGTCAAACAATTACTCCTGAAGTTGGCCGGACGGGATAGAAAAAGCAAAATATGTTAATTTTCCATATGTCCTCGGTGATATGTTCTTCGTTTCTTTCTAATTAGTCAGCAATGCATAGAGATTGTTTCAATAGAGATAAAAGTACGCAAAACTTTACAACGGAAGAACCAAGCGCAGGAGTATAATGCCAGTAGCACGTGAGTTAATATGTCATGATGCACTTGGTTTATCAACGATGCCATAGAGATTAAGAAACCAAGATTTGCACAAAGATAGTTTTGCGGCATTTTCTACATGAGTCAAAACCACCATTTGTCTCACTTTTGGCTTTTGAAATTGCATAAAAAATTAAGGCTGCCCGCTACTTTCTCTTCATCAAGTGGCCACTCAATGCACACATCTGCATAATCACTCAATTAAATAATCACTCAATTCCTCAAGAAGCGACTTCTTTTCTCTTCAAATGTAATCCACCAGCGATCATGCACACACGTTGCGTCTGCATCAACACTAGCCAATATATTAAATCAAAAGTGAATTCTGTCACGCTTTTCTAAGGTTCTAATATCATCCCTTGAACAAGAAAAAAGAAATAAGTTCCCGGAAGAAATAGGGATAAAATTGTAAGCTGGAAGTTATATCTTCAGACTTTGATTCTGTCCACTAACAAAAACTAGAGAACCCGATGGCTGGGAAAAGTACACGAAAAAAAAGTTCTAAATCTATTTTATTTGTGCCAATTCACTTTTAAACTTTTCAATTGTACCAATTGAGTTATAATAATTTTGCTGATTTTCCAATATAATCCGTTTGATTAATTTTGGCCGGAAATCGCTGACATGAACGCTAATTATCTTACGTGTCACGGCTGACATTACGTGTGAAATTTTTTAATTATTTTCATCATCATTTTGTTATCAACAGTGCCATAGACTTTGTACAGTCGTGAACCGAATCGCAAGGATGGGATCCTTTGTCAAACTTTCACATTTAATAAGTTCTTATGTTTGCGTTCCAACAATAAAATTTAGGCATACGGCTAGCCAAGGATTTCAAAGTCTTGCAGATGAGGAAATTCAGATCTCACTTTGTGTAATTGGATGAGACTACACTTGAATGATAAAAAGGTCAAAATTATAAGCATATAATTTGCCTCATGGCAGTTCAACTGACATATTCATCATCTTACAATGCAAAAAAGGAACAGTCAAGATTCTCTCATCTTTAATAAGATCTACGAGCATTCCTCCTCCGCTTCTTTCTCATATTAGCTCCTTTCCTTTCAAGCAATCCCGCGAGCCATCCAAATTTTTTGGATTCGAGAACGATATATCCTAGAGAGACTCCAGCTACGATTCCACACCCATAACCCATCAATATGGCTCTCCACTCAAACCAGCCTCCATGCTCTGTATCATTTCCCTCGAGGATGGTTAACGGCGGAATTTCTCGTGAATTGTTTGTGCATGTCCCTGGCAATGGAAATCCGCATAATCCGGGATTCCCAACAAACGAGTCACTCTTAAATGTGTTGAATTGCCTTCCCAGAGGAATAGGTCCGATGAGCTGATTCTCTGAGAGGTTCAAGATTTCAAGAGACGTCAAATCTGCTAGTTCTCGAGGAATCCTTCCACTGAACTTGTTTGAAGAGAGGTCTAGCCATTCGAGTTCAGTCAAGTTCCCGATAGATCGAGGGATATAGCCAGTGAGATTGTTGTGGGAAAAGTTTAGCCCTTTGAGTGACTTTAGGTTTCCTATATCCACCGGAAGCTCCCCACCAAAATGGTTGCTCGATAAGTCGATACTCGTGAAAACAGTTAGAATTTTCACCAATTGTATCTCCAGTCCTTTTATGGTCACCGTGACTGAATCTTCATAACCATCTCCTCCCATATACTGCAGCTTGCCCTGTCCATTATCCCGATTCATCATGGCAGTGAACTTCATAATATATCTAACGGGTAAAGGACCGCTCAGATTGTTGTTGGACAGGTCGAAAATGCGCAATTCAGAAAATGGGGGAGCTGCTCTAGGACTACTGACGAAGCCGTGGAACATGTTGGACCTCAAAACAAGAACTTGTAGCTTGGGAAGGGTTCCCAACCAATCAGGGAACGTATCCTTCAATCCATTGTTGCCGAGATCCAAAACTTCCAACTCGTCACAATGTACTAAGGACCGTGGCAATGTCCCTTCAAATCGATTCCGACTAAAGTCAATAGTCCTTAAATTGCTGCCCTTAGCAAATTTTATGGGGATCACACCCTGAATCATGTTCATCCGGAGGTTGAGCACCGAGAGATATTTGCTAAAGCTCATCAAGCACTCTGGCAAGGTGCCCATCAAACTATTATTGGACAAGTCAACGACTATGAGCTCAGTGGCATTGCATATCAAAGAGGAAACCTTTCCACCAATCTTGTTGTTTGCAATGGAATAAAATTGAGTGGCGGGTGGTGGAATTGGAAGAGGACCTTCAAATCTATTGTTGGATAGATCAACTTTCCACATATTCAACCGATGGAGAAAATATTCCTCGGGCCATTGACCCCCCAAATTATTGTTAGATATGGAAAAACTATTAAGCCTAGAGGGAAGAAATGGAGCAGCTGGAAGATCGATTTGGCCATGGAATTCATTGAACTGTAGATCGATGCTCTCCAATGAGGGGGCTTCTAGCAACCACTTGGGAAAAGTATCGTTGATTTTGTTGAAACCGACGTTTAGCACAAATAACAGTGCACAATTGTCTAAAAATCGCGGTAATGTCCCTTCAAGCTGATTGGCACTCAAGTCAAGTGCAAAGAGGTTGGTTAAATTTCCCAAACATTGTGGAATAGAGCCGGAGAGATTGTTACGAGCCAAGAGTAGAATTTCAGGGGAGCTTAATTCGCAAATGGAAGATGGAATCTCTCCGCTGAAGCCGTTTTCGCTAGCCCAAAAGAGGAGTATAGAGAGTGGTGGAATTGGAAGCGGGCCCTGGAATAAGTTGTCACTAAGGTCAACAATGGTCAACTCTTTCCAAGGAAATTGTTGTATGCCTCCCTCAATAAGGTTACTAGAAATATCAAGAACCAGTAGTCTACCTTCCCCTACATCCCAAAACCATCTCGGGATCTCACCGCCAATCTTGTTTTTGGAGAGATCTAATTCTGTTATCCTTTTTAAAGACTTAAGAAAAATAGGAAACTTGGTCAAGTTGCAGGAAGGCAAGGCCAAAGTCTCAAGTTTTGGAAATGTGTCATTCGTACTGTGGTAAGCTAGATTTAACTCTACTGTAAGACGAAGGACTTGCAGATTTTTCAGTGTCGAAAGGACTCCCAAGTCTAAAACACCAGTAAAGTTGTTAAAAGAAAGGTCTAAATATATAAGCCGTGCAAGCTTTCCAACAAATGACGGGATATGACCAGTTAATTCGCTGTGCGAAAAGTCCAACCTGGTTAATTTTGTTAAGTTCACAAGCGATGAGGGAATCGATCCTGTCAATGTGCAGTAACTGAGATATAGAGTTTTTAAATTCTTGGATTCACCGATTGAATCAGGTATTTTGCCCGAGATGCTTGCATCCGAGAGGGTCAAGGATTCAAGAGACTTGCTCCAGTTGGACTTCGGAAAAGAAATCTTGATAAAATTAAAATCCAAACTGAGATGAAGGAGGTTTGGCAAGCTAAAAATGTTGGGCGGAAGTTCCCCTCGTAAATAGCACCAATACATACTGAAATACGTCAAGGAGGATGATAAATTCACGAAGGAACTAGGCGAAACAGCAGACATGTCTATGTAATCAAGGTTAAGTTCCCTCAACTCTGTGAAATTCTGAACAAGCCTTTTGAAACCAGTATTTTCGATCTGAAGACCCAAGTTAAAAGAGAGATCAAGTAAAACAAGTTTAGAAAGGTAAGAAATTTCAACAGGAACTAGACCTGAAAAATTGGACCTAGAGAGATCGAGGTGATTCAGTTCAGTAAACAGACTCAGTTCAGGCAAAATGGGTGAGGTACGGAAATTGTTCTCAGCAAGGTTGAGGCTCTGAAGATGGTGAAGTGCAAAGAGTGAACTGTTAGAACGAAGGGTCCCCTCAAGACAGCTGAATGAAAGATCGAGGCCGATAACGTTACCCGTTACATTGTCACAGGCGAGACCGTCCCACGTGCAGCAATCCAAGCCGTTCTTCCATGTAGTCATCTTCGGATCACAGTTTGAGTCCGTATCAGTTTCAACGATGAGAGAATTGCTGAACTGAAGTAAGGCATCACTTTGGACAGGATCACATAATTGTGCTGCTGTGAAACGAAGGTTTAAGAACAATTGCCCAGAAAGACAAAAGAAAAGAAAGAGGGACCGGTGGAATTCCATGTTTTTTGGTCGAGCACAATGGCTCTAAGACAGCGGTGCACTTGATTATAATTGTTAAGAAGTCAAAGTCTTCTTGAAACGACATTACTGGGGTCAAAGTCGCTGGTGGGTTTACTTGGGTGTGGAAAACTTTTTAGGCTCCGTTCGTTTGGCGGAAAATATTCTCCCGGAAAATATTTTCCGGGTTTTTCGGTGTTCGGGAGGCGGAAAACGTTTTCCATGGGAAAATATTTTCCTTTCCCCCATCACAAAATAGCCTAAGTCTATGGAAAATGACTTCCGCTTCTTCAAAAGCGAAAATCATTTTCCGGAGCTTCTTCTTCTTCTTCTTCACTAAGGTCGCCGCCGCCGCCGCCGCCGCCGCCGCCGCGACGCCGCCGCCGCCGATCGCCGCCGCCGGTCGCCGTCGCCGCCGCCCGTCACCGGCCGCCGGTAGCCGGTCGCCGCCGCCGGTGCCGCCGCCGCCGCCGTCGAAAAATATTTTCCGAAACTTTTTCATATTGATCGCCGAACACCGGAAAATTATGTTCCGGGAAAACATTTTCCAGAAAAATGACTTCCGGGAAAATATTTTCCAAAAGGAGAATATTTTCCGCCAAACGAACGGAGCCAGTGCCATAGAATTTCTTCCTTGGCTGAATGCAATAAAGGAGAGTGGAGGAGTTTTCACGGCATCCATTCTAGATGGGCATTGACAAATTGGTGCTAATAAGTTGGACTTCATTAATTTTTTTTACTTGCAATATCATATCAAGCATGGAATAAAATTTTTCTACATGTACGAGATGCGGAAGCCATCTCCGCTTTTCTTGAAAGGCATATTGGTCAAGTCTCTGGTGGCATTTTTCATTTCAAAGATATGCGTGGCCCTGGTCATTACCACTTGGTAGACAAATTTGAATCTCTAGTGCCCCCGTTTACTATTGCCGACAAGTGTGATGATAGGTACAAGTCCAACTTATGCTATTCACCTGTAAGTTCAACAAGAATTTGGGGCGGGACGAGGGAATGTGTGTTGGTGTCTACGGAACATGTAAGGTAAAGTAAAATATAAACGCAGCGGAAGCAAAAAATAAAATTAAACTATACATGTATTTTCAAAGGTGTTGTTCGTGTGCTTTAATAAAAAAAATCAGAAAAACAAAGGGGGTTAAACGGATTGCCTCTCATAGCGTGCCCAAAACGACTTGGTTAAAATGTTATTCGGTTCGAGCTCCACCAATGTCTGACCTCCAGTTTATATACATCACCAATAGCACGTCAAAGGGAAGAAAGAACTCGCGAGTAATCACCTCTATAATTGTGCTAACAATCTCGTGTGGAGACAATTCTCTGCAATCCTGGGACCAACAGAAGAGAGAAAAACTTTTTACCTCCCCAATGTGTGTATTGTTGACCGTGTGCTGCACGTGATCAGCTGCTAACCATGTGTCCACTTTGGGTGTGTGTTCACATCATACGCATGCAAGCCCATGACCAAAAATAAAATAAAATAAAATATCATTTAACTTAATTTAATTTCAGGCCAACTCAATTCGATTGTTGTAATTGCAAACATATTGCATAGTTACTTTAAAGCATACATCCAATAATGTCTAGTGATATGATCCTTAAGGGATGTATTTCCATGGCAGAGTCATCCATTAAGACCAGCTATATGGGATTCGGCCGTTTTATCTTATTATTCAAGGAAAAATTCATGCACCCCCCAAAAAAAGATGCAATCTGTGAATGGCATTTCAAGCCGACAACTTTTTTATTCCTTGAACTGCATGGCGAACGGTTTCAATTGCAATCTTCTCAACAATTTCATGGTCCATGAAATCCGATGCCTTATGCTTTAGCCTCTTCATCCATTTGGCTTCCCTTTTCTCCATCCTTCTCACAATTCTCACGAGATATTTTGGTCTTCCAGTTTCATATGCAATGTATGCTACGGAGATCCCAACAACAATTCCCAATTAAGATAAAGTGATAAAATCTCTAAAATCAAGAAAGTGCTTGTCAAATGTTTTACAGTTACATTAGCAAGAATGTCCTCGACTACTCCCAATCGTGCATCTTCGTTCGTACTTCAGATGCTATAAAAGAAAAACTCCTCACAAATTTCATCCGGAGTATCAGAAGGGATGGGTGGACCAAGTGTCGCAGAGGTCGAAAGGGATCGAGAATCTCTATCACCTTTGCTCAATGAAGTTGCACGTAAGTTTCCGTCCACCAAAATGAAGTTGCACAAGTCTACACGCTTTGCTCATCCTGCGGGCCACAAAGAAAAGGGGGTCGATATCATTCCAAATTCCAATCCCCGAAATTTTTTTGGCGAAAACATACACATTTCATTCTTTGTAGCTCCTGTTTTTCAGAGCCTTGGACATGGAACCCCACATCGTGCTGCTTGAAAAAGACGCAAACCGCTTGTCTTCTCACTGCAGATTTTGAGACTGAACCTGTATTCTTGTTGAGAAATAGAAAGGATTGAAGTAATTGTCGGGGCTATTCTTCCGGGATGAATAGCTAGCTTCCTTGGAGGTTTTCAGCTGTTTACGTAGGAGTTCAATTTTATTGCCTCATCCTGATGAATTTTACCATGTACCACCACATTAGGTGGTAAATCTCTCGGGAAGCACCGAAGTTCATGAACGTCGAATGCAGGGCAAGTCAATTTGTCCTAAACATCGTCTCTTTGTCTGAAATTACGGCTAGCATATGACTTTCATCTACGCTGGAGTGACAAAGCTTCAACCCCGAGTCCTTCTGGCTTCACAGGCAAGTGTCAAGTCACCAATCACCATCTCTATTTGACGGACAGATAGCGCTACTTCATGATTAGGCCACAGTTCATCAACCTGATCATCCGTTAAACTAATGCATATAGCTTCCTGTGCTTTCTCCACCATAGCCTTATCCTGTTAATATGGTAAAGAGTAGAAATTGAACATTTATTGGAGCTACAAAGATTGCCAGATCTTTGCAGGTCGGAAAGCCCAAGCAGCTGTTTTCTTTCAATATCAGAAGGCTCAAGCAGAAAGCAAAAGCACCCAATGTGAGTAATCAATGGTCTAAATGTCGACCGCCTGATGCCACGACCTCCGCCGGCCATCGACGAGGCCCGTTGATGACCGGTGGAGGGAAAAATGGAAAAGGACAATAATAAAAAATGAAAAAAAAAAGAGTAAAGAAGGAAAAGAGAATAAAAAGAAAAAAAAAAGAGAAAGAAGAGAATAGATAAATAAAATTGAAAAAATGTTAAAATATTAATAAAATTTGTTAGTGTTAAGGCCGACTGTGTCACGTAGGATAGCCGACATTCACGTCAGTGATCTCTAGCCAAACTTGGCCGGATAGACTCAATTGGCAAAATGTGAAAATGTTTAGGACTCAATTGTCACAATTAAAAGGTTTAAAACTGAATTGGCAAAAATGCAATAAATTTAAAACTTTTTGGATAATTTTTCCGTTTTTGGGCTCTGTCACTCTATATACAAAGCCTGAACTACTTTTTGCCTTAGTGTACATAATCTCTAGCCATTACTTAGACAGTCTATCTATACTCGAAAGGACAAAAACTGGAAATATGGGGAAAATGGAGTTCCTCAACTAACTTAAGCACTGGCTCAAGTGCATGTAACATACAACTCTATATACAAAGTCTCTCTTTTGCATTGAACACCTGAGAGAGGATCATGGAGGATAAACATTCTGAATGGCATCATCAGTTTGAGATAACTTTTAATTTTACCCTCTTATTATCGTAAATTTTATGACTCTCACAGCGTGACCTTCACTAATCTCGAAATGAGAACAAAGTAGCACTAAATCGGGAGAGTCTTTTATGTAGTATTTACATCAAATGACGGGTTATCATTATGTTATCCACCGTATTAAGTACTATCATCTATCTTGCTTCTTAAATATGCATTGAAGATAAGGATACAATGCTTTCGTGTCGACACGGCCGAGTTGATAAAGGAAAATTACTCATCTAACTTTCTCCCAAAATAGAATTTAAAGAGCAAAAGGCACCTTCTCTTAATATAGAACGATTTTTTTTTTCTGGCTGTGAACTTGAAAACACATCATTCAAAGAAGGTGGAGGAAAGGGATTTTTCTAATCATTGTCTAATTGAATGACCTCTTTTGTTACATTGCAAACCCCAATTAGGGGAAGCGGAAAGCCCACTCGACATAATAAAGTTAAGAGAACTCGATGTGCTTTTGATCGCCAATTCGAACCTGTTCAGAAGATTCTCTCGTGCTTCATTCATCAATACGATTGGCAGATGTCGACCATGGTTCAAAATCTTGTTTTTAGGTCCCACTGTATGCCGGGTGAACAATGTTTTTTTTTTCGTTTGATAAAAAATAATTTTGATATGATAAGAAAGTAGAATAAGAATGTACAAAAACCTAACACGTTTGACATATTTAAGAAATAACTTTTTATAATACAAGTGGGGAGAAAACTAAAGAATGCGCGAATGCGTTGGTGTCCAGTAAAAAGCATGGTGCGAGTGAAATTCTGATTTGATTTAATTTTTTTAAAGTAAATATGCACAAGCGTTGCATGGGCATAAGAAATCGACATTTAAAACATTAAGCGAAATCATTATACCGCGAAATGTTTGGATCGTTCAGTAATTAAAAGAAATTAGTGATAAACATGCGAAATGAAAAAAAAATAGTATAAAATTTGTTACGGCTAATGCTATCACCTAGAGGGAGATGAATATGTGATTTTACCAAATTGTATTATTTAAACGTGCGGAATGAATATAGTCGAGGTCAACAACTCGTATGATCAATATCAGATAGATGCGTATAACAAACTT